CAGAGGAGCTGAGGAGACACCTCATGATGGCTGCAGCTCCTCACAGGGAGCAGAAGGCTAGCGCTGCTCTCTGCGACAGCGACAGGGCCCGAGGGAATGGCATGGAACGTGAAAGAAGGCTGTAGAGAGGTGGGGTTGACCTCTTTACCCAGTTAACAGCGATAGAATGAGAGAGGATGGCCACAGATTGCACCAGGGGAAGTTCAGGTTGGATATTACGGAGAATTTCATCTCATAAAGAGCAGTGAGGCAGTGGCACAGGCTGCTAGGGAGGTGGTGGGGTCACCGTGCCTGGAGGTGTTCAAAAACCATGTGGATGTGGCACTGAGGGACATGGTCAGTGGGGGTGTGCTGATGGTTGGACCAGATAGTCTTAGTGGTCTTTCCCAACCAGAATGATTCTATGATTCTACAATTCTATATTGGTACAGAGATATGTGATGTAACTGGGCTACTTACTAACCATGTCTCTCTATGCTGAATTGCTGACATTTTCTACCTTTAATAGTTGTTGTTTTTAGCACTTTTGAGAAACTTCTGTGTGACACTCTGCAGCAGTGTTTCCAGTGACAAAATCCAAGGTATCCCTATGTTCTGAACTCACAATTCCAGGGCTTTAGCAAGTTCGGTTGTAGACTCAGAGGTTATGTTAAAATAGCTGACAATTTCAAGATCATCATTTTTCAGCGTAACAACTGATTCTTAAAGTTTGCCTTATTTTATTCATTCTTAAGTAAAATGATATTTTTTGTTGTATGATATTAAAACTACTAGTTTGCTTGTGCTAAATTGTAAAGATAGTTAGATGTTTATCAGGGAACTGAATAACTATGGAGAAGTACATGGAAATAGAACAAACATCTTCAAGGGGAGCATGCTATACTTAAGGAATGTCTTTATAAAATGAGTCTTAGTTCAGTCTTAGTTCAGTAAATATGCCTAGCAAGGGTGCTCCCCTGCATGTACTACTGTCAAGTACATGTGTATACACATTCAAGAACTGCACAAGATATTTGTGTAGCTAAAATTGATAGATTAGAATCATAAATTAAAGTGCACATCATTTTAAATGTATGCTGTAACATTTAATTTGCTTTTACATAATACATTTCGTTAGGCGTAGAACCGATCATATTCTGGTTTCATGTTCATCTAGATACTTTACTGTTTTAAACAGCCACTGTTCTACGTTAATGAAAATCTGCACACAAATATACATCAATTTGACTGCCTCCTTACAAAAGTGGAGCCTCTTAGAGGCATTCATCTAATAAAAAAGTTTAGATTTCATATCATTGGAGTATTTTGTTTCTTTTCATATTCAAATACATGGATCTGGCTCTGTTTGTTTGTCTCTTAAGCAACACATGAATCACAGAGATTGAAATTGCGCTTGAATAAGAAATTTCAATAAGTTCCATTGATTTCAATTGACTTTTACCAGACTAAATGAAAGAAAGATCATAGCTCTGCATTTAGGCACTTGAAAATGAGAATGTTTTTTATATCAGTTAAATTTTCTTAAGGGTATTTTCAATCTATAACGATATCTAGCCATGAAACTCTATTGAGTATCACATACTCTACTTTTTCTGGGAGTTTTCCAGAGGACACTGCTTATTTTCAAATACGCTACAAATATTGTGTAAGAAAATGAGCTAGTATTTCATATTATAGAGAGAAACAGAATACAAATCTACTGGAAAAAAACATTTGAAAAGTCATGCAAAGTACAGTATATCTTAGAACAACTGTGTTAATTTACATTCATTATACACGGAAACAAACACAATTTTAATTTCTTCATCTTCAACATTTGTATATATACTGAATAAATAACACAAGCACAAGATTTGTAAGGTAGAAGCTGATCATTTCTCTGATATTTTCCTTTCCCAAAATACAACATTAGGTACAATGTGACACATCATGCTGTAAAGCAGCCATGAGGATAAGATGTCTAAAATAATGCATTTCCAACATTGTTTTATGTAAAGATCCCTCACTTTCCCTACAACATGGGGTTTAAAGACACACTGATTTCACCATGACAATAAATATACAAAGCTTAGTGATTATCTCTTGGAGATAGTGATATAATTAATAACTCCCAGTTATTAATTAATTTTATTTTTAATGTATTTTTAATTAATTAACTCCCAGTGCTTTGCATGATGTTATGATGTGGAATACCGATAACAACAAATAATAAAACAATGGCATATATAATAGATTATGATAAGAATAGTATTAGCATTTAAGAAAGAAACACACGTACAAAGTGAATAAAAAGCTTGAAGGATTGTAAGATGTCATAAAACTGTCTTATATTGTGAAAAATTAAGTGATTTGGAAAATAAATGTTTTTTTTTTTTTTCCCCCAGTGTTTAGATATAGCAAAAGACTTCAGAACAAGTTGTAAATAATCAGTGGTACAATTAATTTCATCATACAAAATACTCATGGGATGTTATGGCTACAGTTGGGAACACCTGGCTACAAAATTAAAGTTTGCTCCTTATACAATCATAATCATTTCTTACATAGGATTTCAGGCAGCCTCGTCACGTATTTATTGTTTACTCCAGGATATGATTTTGTTACCCACCTTAGACATGAGAAAAAATGCTAGGAGCTTCTACTTTTTTTTTTTTTTTTAATATGAAACAGAATTTTTACAAAATTCTGAATGTTTCTACTATATCCTAGATGTTTAATGTATACTTCTGAGTGAAAGTTATGTGTAATTTTATAACTCACACAGAAGTAGTCATTAAGTTTGATCTTCACTCTGAAAGAAAGTTATTATCTCCTTCAAAAGTACAGCATGCTTGTTAAGTGCTGATTATTATTTTTTTTTTTCCATTTTATATATGGATTCAAAATCTAGTGTAATTATTGTGCTACACAGTGTGCATAGGGATCCACACAGATCTTGAAGGACACAAAATATATTTTAGACTGTATTAGCTGAAGAAGAGCACTGCTGTAATTTTTTGTTCATCTAACAGCTTTTACCATACCTCAAATGCTTACCCCAGATAGGTAGGGCTATCACTGCATGAAGGACCCTCGTGGAGCCATTTTCTGGTTTCTTTTAAACATTAATCTTCACAGTTTCAAAGTTCCATTGGCACAGTGTTTTATTGAAATGTTCAGAGTTTTTAAAAGCAAAACTGGTTAAAAAAGAAAAAAAAGCAACTAAAAAGCTGGAATTCTAAAATATGAAATGCAAAATTGACTGGAAACCTGCTGAAATGTCCTACTGTAACCTCAGGAGATGGACAGAACTGAACTCTGGTACAGAGCCTGCTAAGAAATGTGCAAGAAATGAGTCATTAGACTTCTCCTGTGTTTCTCTACTAAAATACATTTTTAAGGACTAAACAGCTCTTACTGCTTGTTCTGATGAGATATACTGCTACTATCATCAGTGTTAAATATATAGTATGTTTTTAATTTCAGGAGATACTTTTGAAACAGAGGAAAGAGGTAGCATTTTGACACTGTATGTGCAATAAGATTTCAGGGACTTTATAAATAAATATGTGAGTAGCTGTTTCTTTTGAGGATCTCTAATTCTCACAATGCTTTGAAAAATAGAACTTAAGAGATTTGTATATATTTAAGTAATTGTTTAAATACATGTATGGACAGTGCTTTAGTTTGAGAGGAATTACAGTAATTGTTGCTGTTGCCTTTTTTTTTTTTTTTTTTTTTTGTATGGAATAGTATTGCCTTATTAATACAATAGAGTCGAATTCAGTAGAATTATTGGAGTGGAAACTTCAGTGTCAGTCAGAGAAATAATCTTTTTTTTTTTTTTTTTGCTTCAGTGTACACTGAAATTAGTGTTTTTGGTTACAAATGTGTAACAAAGCATATTAAAAAAAACAAGTGTGATGAAACTTCTTCTTTGCCTTCCAAAATAAATGATAACCTGTCAGCAAACTCAGAACTTGTAGTCAGGCATTTTGTTGCCAGAAGTAATCAGTGCCTGTTCCCTGGTTTTCTGCCCAAATTAGCCATATTTCTGGCACAAATCCCTGCACAACTCTCCAGCTCCTCAACGGTTAGACACAGTTCACATTATTTAACACTGTTTTTCCTCTAGGTCACAGTGGGTACATCAAAGCCATGGTAAATATACTGATTAAAAGGGGTATGTTTTAGCCAGCAAACTGAATTTTGGAGTGGCAAATGATTTTAACATGTCTCTGAGATGCAAGTTTTACTGACACACTCAGAAATCAGGGCATTATAAACATATTCTTACTACACTTCCCTTCCCCACTCTTTATCCTTAGAATTCCAAACCGATGAAGTCCTATTACTGGTTATCACGTCACTAGGTTTAAAATTATTTGCAGTCAAGAAAAAATGCATTTTCCTCATGAAATCATAATTTCACCATGTTAATTTTATACTTACATAAACTTGTATTTACATTGTAATTTTTTATTCTAATGATTTTTAGAAAGCAATTTTTAAAAAGGAGAAACATAATTTTTGAAGCTGCAAGATCACCGAATATGTTACAAACTCAAGTGTGGTCTGGTAGGGACTTAATGACTTGAGTGATTGGAATCTGAAAAAAACTGAAAGCTAGGTATAACAGTAACATTGTGCTAGAGTGTTTTCCTAATATCAAATCAAACCCAGAAAAGAAGGTGCCATGGATGAACCCTTCTTTTCCAATTTTTTTCTTGTATATTCTGTGCTCCTAACAGTTACTTCAAACTGCTTCTTCATATGAATGATTGGACACAATGTCATGTGTGCACCAGCATGTCTTTGATATTATTTTACTGATTCCATGTAGATAACACTGACATGTAAACAGACATTTTCATGTGAGCTAACCCTCCATAACTGATCAGTAAATCTGTGGAAAAAAAGGCGTCTGACAGAGCATCTGTCCAACAGTATTTAACATCTTTGAAAAGCTGGACAGGAGCCAGCAGTGTGCTCTTGCAGCCTGGAAGGCCAACTGCTTCCAGGGCTGCATCCACAGAGGGGTGGCCAGCAGGGTGAGGGAGGTGATTGTCCCCCTCTACTCTCTCCTCACGAGGCCCCATCTGGATTACTGAGTCCAGGCCAGCACAGGAAGGACATGGAGCTCTTGGAGTGGGTCCAGTGAAGATGATTACAGAGCTGGAGCACCTCTCCTATGAAGAAAGTTTGAGAATAGTGAGGCATTGGAACATGTTTTCCCAGATCAACCCTGTGGATGCCCCATACTTGGAGGCGTTCAAGGCCAGGTGTTATGGGGCCCTGGGTGGGTGATGGCCCTGCCCAAATTAGGGGGTTGGAACTAGATGATCTATAAGGACTCTTCCAGCCTAACCCATTCTATGTCTACATGATCTTCAGCAAAGAACAGAACAAGGGCGCAGAATGCAAGCCGCAGATGACGTCAAACCTGGGTGGATAGCAGATACACTGGAGCGCAGAGTTTTCTTTTGGAGGCATCTGGTGAGCCAGAGAATGGACAACAGTTATCAAATAAATTTCAACAAAGCCCAACCAAAATTGGGCTGAATGCAATTCTATAGAAAAAGGTGGGGTAAAGGGAGGTGATTTGTCCCCTCTACTCAGTACACATGAGAAAGCACGTGGAACATGCTGTCCAGTTTGGAACATCCCAGTGCATGAGAGGGATGGCCAAGCTGGAGTGGAAAAACAGGGACTTTGCACCTTATTTTTTCAGCTTGGAGAAGACGGGGAGAAACTCTAATTGTCATCTACAATTATGCATGTTTGGTTAGAGTGAAGAGTCTTCTCAAGGGTGTGGTGAGAGGGGGGAGGGAAATGATTGCAAGCTGCATCAAGGGAAATCTCAACTATGACTGATGAGTTGCAGAATTGCTGTCTTTGGAAATCTTCAAAACATAACTAGACAAGAAGTGATATGGATGTGAGGGCAGCCCTGCCTTGAGAGGATCCCAAGAGGTTTCTTCAACTTAATTTGCTCTATGATTCTATGATGGGTCATGAACATAAATGGTAAAAGCATATCATTCTCCTGCTAACAATATGTCCTCAAAGTGCTGAGGCACTCCCACTTATTACTTATAATTTATATTACACACTTTGTACCAATTTAAATGTATCCTTCCGAAATTTTCCTTTTTAGAGTTACATTGTATCAAACCTCTATTAGAACTTTTAAAGGATTGCTGTTTTTAAGCACTTATGCATTGCTTGGATTTTCTTTATGGAACATAACATTTTAAAATACATATTGATATTGCACATTTAAAACTGTACTTCCATCTCAGAGTCAATAAAGTTAACAAAACACGCACACACACACACACACATAACACACATGCAGCAGCTAAAGAAAAGCTTTCCTCAGACAAATTTTGATTTTGATAGAACTTCACACAGACCATAAACAAAAACCTTATATAGTGTACACAAAAGTTCTGTGTATGCAGTAAGGCAGGCATACAAAGCGGTAAAAAGTACATCATCATTCACTATGTTACATTAAAAAGATAGCTGAACAGATAAAATCAGTGTTGCCTCTCCAAAGCAATTGTCTCAAATTGTACGTGGGTTATTTCAACTCGAAGTCAGATCCCATCTTTACTCTAACAAGGGAAAAGACATTGTCAAAACAACCTGAACAGAGAATGAAACTTTTCCTCTCTGAAACTGTAGTACCACGGTATTTATTATCTGTAAGTCAGAAAATTTAGCCATCTCTTTGCTTCTACGGAGTAAGATGTGAGAAGTTCAGTGATTTATCCATATCAGCGAATACTTCTTGTATGTTACATTTGAATGCTTATACAAATTATGCTTAATGAATAGGAACACACACAAATCATAACCAATGTTTTGTTTCTGAATTATCTTTCAAAGGTCAGGAGCTTCATTTGGCAAAGATACAATACAAAGGACCAGCCCAGTTTTCCTTCATACCATTTTCATGAACATTTGCTACAAATGCAACTTCATTACCTTAAATACCTATTAGCTTTATCAAGAAAAAGCTGTGATAAAGCTCATTGTGCTTTGTTTTCCAGAAATGTCATTCATTCACGCAGCTGAAGAGCCAGCAAACAGGACTTTCTGAAATTCACACATGTGTGCAGTTGGTAGATGGTGGTGTATCTATCCGACTCTTATTTTCTTTAGCATCATTCAGAGGTGATTCGTTACCTATCTGGCACTTGAAAACTTGCTTGTAGGCCTTTCTAAAATTTTCAGAGAGAAATGCATATATAATTGGGTTTACAGAAGAATTGCTGTAAGCCAGGCAGTGTGCAGCTACCCTGAAGAGAAATGAGGCTTGAGTCAGTGGGAATACTCCAAATTCAGCCCAGAGATGAATCACATGATGCGGCAGCCAGGAGATGCCAAAAACCACTACCACCACCAACACAGTCTGTGCTGTCTGAGACAGGGAAAGGAAAACACAGATGTCTTATGAATATTAAAAGCAAGCTTATTATATCATTATCCGTAAAAAAAACCAAAAATAATAAAACACATTTTTGAATATTTATTAATATTTTAATTCATTACCTACATGGACTTTGTTTTGTAGTATTGCAAGAAGTACATGATCTTCCAGAGTAGAAGAGAAACTCTTCTACTCTTTGCTCAAAGGCAAAGAAAGATGTTCCTCACTCCCTAGACAAAGTGCTAGCCTCTTCTGGGGTAGACTCAGGATTGATGCAATAAATTAATAACATAGGTCTCTGGGAAATCTCATCCAGATCTAATTAATGAATCATATTTTAATACAGTACACAAGGATTTCTGACCAGATTTCAAGGGAGATCTACTGTACATGGAGGCATCTAGTGAAAGAGGTAAGAGCAGTCAGATTAACCCTGTGCAGTCTAAAGCAGGAGCAGAAGTTGCTGTATTTTTTAAAGTCTGCTCTTTAAGCATAAAACTTCCTTTGGAATCATCCAATAATATTCTGGGATACAACTAGGAAAAAAGAAAAGAAAAGAAAAAGAACAAGATTTCTGGTAACTATATATTGAACGTAAGGAGCAAAATAACCTTCATTCTACCTCCTGACTCCACTTTCAGTATTTTCACAAGAAAGAGCCATTAAGTTTGCTAGATCCCCTCTGACAGCTGCAGTATCAGTCACCAGAGACCTTTTGGTTACTGCAGGTATTTTTCCGGGCACGGTGGAGTTTGTTTGACAAAGTTTTCTTTAGGTTTCTCTTTCTTCCAAAATTGCAATTACTGCTTTGCAGGCACTGAACAAAATACATTTCTCTAGCAAGTGCCAATTTCCCATTGAGAGCCTACTAGTAATTCCAATGCATATCATGTTACGGGTCATTATAATTACTCAATTAACATTTTACAACATAATTCTTCAGATAACTGTTGCTCTCATTCACAGGCAGAGCTAACTGACAAAGTGGTATATGCTGCAGGGCAGACTTTTTGCTGATATATTGACCCTGGTCTATACTTACTTGAATTGATTAATGCTCAGTAATAATTAACTAACTTGTTTAATTTTCATGTGCCTTAATTTGTGGAAACTTGCAGGGAAAAGTTTAATTTCTGCAGCAACAGCCTGAAATAACTTATGACAAATATTGTTTCTGGTTAGCAAAATCTCTAGTAAATATAATTTTTTCAGTCCCAAGGGTTCAAATTTATTCACCAGTCTTTTTTTCTATTTAACCCTATTAAGCTTAATTCAGCTGATGCTAAAGCAGCCACACAAATATTTCCTCTTTCAGCTCTCATCAGGAAAGCTGTCTTCCTCATGCTAACAAGGAAGCATAAATAAAGAACAATTGATTCTCCAATCCCTTCAGTGCATTAATATTCCAGCTGCAAACATGCTGTCTGGTTATTGCACACAGTTAATTCTTAAAAGATGTGTTACCTCAGTTTGTACTTTTTTTTTTTTTTTTAATTGACATCAGGAAAATCACTGACTTCCAATAGACTGTATAAATGCAACTGAAAGCTGAGGTGTCTCTTGTAACTATTATACTAAGGTATTTCATATCTGCGGAGTAAGTAGTTTTTCATAACGGATCCTCACAGCATCTGTTTTATCCCATTATTCATCCTAAGACTCACTTCAGAGCTTACCTTTCCAGCATCATCCCTATAATTTGCAACCAAGGTAACACTAAAGGGCAGTTCTTTTTATGTCATGGTATCATGCTTAGGGTTTCTCATCAGCAAATAAAAAAAAACTTGAAATGCATGTTGATGTTTCCTGGCCAAAAAGCATAAAGAACGGCATTTAGGTACATTTATGTTTTAAATTCACTTTTTAAATTCACACATGATAAACTAAGATTCTGTTACTAACAATCTTTTTTGTAGGTCTAAGCAAACTTGACTGAACAATATCCATGGGCCTTGAAGGTATATACCTACCAGTACTCAGGGACCTGGCAGAAGTGATTGCCAAGCTGCTCTCTATGATCTTTGAAAGATCATGGAGAATGAGAGAGGTTTTTGAGGACTGGAAGAAAAGCCAATATCACTGCAGTCTTCAAAAAGGGTTAGACGGATGACCCAGAAAATTTTGGCCAGTCAGCCTCACCTCTGTCCCCAGGAAGATGATGGAGCATCTTCTTCTGGATGTCTTCTCCAAGAAAATGGAAGAGAAAAAGGTTATAAAGAGTAGTCAGCATGGATTCACCAAGGGAAAATCATGCTTGACCAATCTGGTAGCCTCTAAGAACTCATGACTGATTGGATAGATGTGGGGAGAGCAGTGCACGTTGTGTACCTTGACTTCAGCAAGGCATTTGATGCTGCCTCCTGTAACATCCTCATAGATAAACTCAGGAAGTGTGAGACAGTCAAGTGGATGGTGAGGTGAATTGAGAACTGACTGACAGGCAGAGCTTAAAGGGCTGTGATCATCAGCACAGAGTCTAGTTGGAGGCCTGTAGATAGTGGTGTTTTCAAGGGGTTGGTACTGGGTCTGGTCTTGTTCAACATCTTTATCAGTGACCTGGATGAAGAGAAAGAGTGCATCCTCATGAAGTTTGCTGGGAGATGTGACTGACTCACCAGAAAGCTGTGCTGCCATTCAGTGAAACCTGACAGGATGGAAACCAGATAAGGTTCAACAAGGGCAAGTGTAGAGTCCTAAATGTGGGGAGGAATAACCTCCTGCATCAGTATAGGTTAGAGGCTGACCTGCTGGGAAGAAACTCTGTGGAGAAGGACTTGAGTGTTCTGGTGGACAACAGGTTGGCCATGAGCGAGCAGTGTGCCCTTGTGGCCAAGGAGGAGAATGGTATCCTGGGCTGCTTTAAAAAGAGCATAGCCAGCCAAACGAGGGAGGTGATATTCCCCTTCTACCCTACCCTAGTGAGGACACGTCTGGACCACTGTGTCAAGTTCTGGGCTCCCCAGTTCAAGAAATGTAGGGAACTTCTAGAGAGAGCCCGGCAGAGGACTGCAAAGACTTTTAGGGGCCTGGAGCATTTCCCCTATGAGGAAGGGCTGAGAGAGCTGGGTCTGTTCAGCCTGGAGGAGAGAAGACTAAGGAAGGATCTTATCAATGCTTATAAAAATCTAATGGATGGAAGCCAAGTGGATGGGGCCAGGTTCTTTTCAGTGGTGCTCAGCAACAGGAGAAGGGGCAATGGGCACAAACTGGAACTCTGGAAATTCCGTAAGAACATGAGGTAAAACTTTTTTACTTGGAGAGTGACAGAGCATGGAAGAGTCTGCCCAGAGAGATTGTGGAGTCCCCAGAGGTCCCTTCCTACCCATATGGTTCTGTGATTCCGTGATACTAAAATTTTATAAAGCTCTGAATAAAGCTGTAGGACTGGGCCTTAAACGCATTATTCTTAACAAAACTGCAAGGAAAAGAAGAAACAGTAACCAGAAAGATAAATACTAATGAAAACAGCATTGTTTTAAAATCATGAGCTAAGTAAGGCCTTGGGATCAGATCTAAGTCAAAAAAGCTTTTCACTTCATTTCGTTTGCCTTTCCCTTACTAAACCCTGAGACACCTGAATAGTCTTGAACATACATATAATGCTTTCCCCTGAAACTATGAAAGCAAGTTCATAGCTAGATCTGAGTTTTATTTGCATAAAGAGCTTGTACCTAGAGGAGATGCAGATATTTCCAGTTTGAAAATAACATACATGAGAGCAGGGATGGCAACATAGAGAATGCCTTTCAAAACAGCACCTTTGGCCTTGATGAGATTAAGTGCAAATTATTTATGTTAAGTATTTTACTGCATCAAAGACATAATGCTTTTAATTTAGAAATTGAGATCTGTTGATGAAGAAATGTATATACATATATATTGAATAGAGAATGCATAAGTAATAGATTATTTATTCCCCGTTGAGCCCATGTATATCTCATTTACATTACAGACAGCCTGCATGCCCATATGGTAATAGCAATCAGATCATACAAAGAGCTATAGCCTAAGGCTTGTTTCTGACTCCACATTCATAAACTGAGAAGTTAGTCAAATTATTACTGTGGTCAAATCTGCTCAAAAATCAGAACCATATTATATTATCTGACAAAATATCTACATAAACACATCTTTCAAATATTGCTCTAAATTGCAAAGCTAATACTGTGCTTCAAAGACCCTTCACAATTCCATTTGTAGGCAGTATATAACTGAAGTCTTGAACATAAAGGAAAAAAGTTTTTATGGAAAATCATAAAATCATGAAAGTCTCTTTTTAGACTACTATTGGGAATTGTAATGAATCTCATTTGGAAGTCTTGTCATATAACCTAGGAATCCTTCATAAACTGCTACAAATATTCAGTTAGTTAGTTAGAAAAGAAAAAAAAAGAGAGAGAGAGAGAGATGTACAGTTTAGGGAAAAAAATTCTAGTGAGGGAAAAGAAACATTTACATTAGAGAGAGGTAGTCTCTCCATGACTGAATTTCACACGCTCCAGTGTTCAAAATATGGGGATTTCAAGTAATGGCTTGACCACTGTGATGGAAAATCCTGATCAGAAAAGACTCTTATCCTGCTGAGGTGCTGAATATGTCATCAAATACTCCATTTCAAATCTTTCTCTCCATTACATCTTTGGCAACAAGCAATAGAACAGCAAATCATCTTACCCATAAAACTACAATATAAACAAATAGGAATTGGTAATGAAAGCAATCTACCTTTTTCTTGGATGCTTCTGACTTCTTTGACATGTTTCTCAGCTTTTTATGCAGATGATTAAGAACCTGAAAAGATCAATTTGCAACTTGTATTTCACCATTTTCTAAAATTCAAAACCATTTTCTTAGAGTCCATTCTTCAGGACTGCATAAGTTGCTTACAAACATTAATGATCCAATTTAAACATTTCAGAAATTCATATTATAAAATCTAAAGGAATTACATATCTATATCTGTAAATAGGAAACATATCACAACTGAATTCTTCTATCAAAATACAGTTGCATTATGTAACAAATACATATTACAATCAAATGAGCCAATAAATTGAAACCTTCCCTACAACTAGAATTAGCCATTATTCTTTCATGAAAATGTCAATGCTCATTAATTTAGAATGACCTTTACTGCATGTAACATAAGAAGTGTATGTTTTGAGTCAGAGCTTTTCTGAGTCACCTGCATAATTTGCTTTCTTCAGATGGATGTTTAGTTAATATAATCAGGATGTTGGCACTATTTGATCTTTGAAAGATGCTTAGGCTCTTACAAAGAATTTATACTAAGATGTATCTCCCATGAGACATGACCTTTATGAACAATTTGATGATACTTGCCATGTACCTTTCATAAGTAATTTTTTAATATACTTCAAAATGATTCATAAACTGAGAGCAGATTTTTACATAAGAGTTTGGACAGTGGGTGCATAGAGTCATTATCTTCAGTCATTATTAACTGAATTTAATATATTCATATAGTGTGATTTGTGGGTATGCAGGGAAGCAGGGTATATGCTCTTCAGCTGAATGTGTTTAACATGTGATAAATCATACCAAATAAAAAAAATGGAAATACTTAAGTATATTCAAGGGTTTCATTATAATATAGTAAGAATTTGTTTATCTATTTATTAATACAAAATGTCAGAATGTAGAGTCTTCAGTTAGATGACTGTGCTGTGATGGTTATACTTTACATACCTCCAAGGTGAACTGACAACTATTAAGTAGGTAAGATCATCCAGAATTGAAGTAAATATGCATTAAAAGATCTTCTTTTGAAGGAATAAAATGCTGAATATCAGAGCTTATAAAAAGATTTCTTGAGGTGTGAAAAGTGTAGAAATTTTCTTATATCATATGAGGGTGTTTTCTCGGATTTCTTTAGAATGTAAACTAACCACTGCCAGTCTTAGAAACATACATTATGAGTTAGGAGAAACAGAAACAGGATGTTATCTATGAATAACTATAGCTCAGAGTAAATTCCGTTTTTTAAGTGTCTGCTCTTACCTACCAGTGAACCAGTGATAACAACAATAATAATAACAATGAAAATAATGAATTGCAACATAACACTGAAAGTGCAGTTCTGCTTATCTGTGTATGAACGTGTCTGTGTGCGACTCAGCCCAAAAACTCCTTTTTCTGAAATACCAGGTCAATCTAAACCCAGGAAAGACAGGACAGAAAAACAACTGCGTTTTCTCTGAGAAGGTCCAGCTTTGGCTGGATCTCAGCCATTATTCCTACTCCAGGATGAAGTAGACCAGACAGAAAGTACAGAAGAACCCCTGAAATGCAAGGAGATGCCCCTCTGGTTCACACATCCTTTATTCACCATGTACAACAGTGCTGAATTGGTTAGTCCACGGGTGTGAAAATAGAAGAGCATGGGAGAAATACCATTCACTTCTCATCGCTTCTTTTTTGTTTATCCTCCCTCTTCACTGGAACGGACTTCCCTGGGCAGCGGTCACTGCCCAAAGCTGCTGGAGCTCCAGAAGCATTTGGACAACACTCTCAGACATAGGGTCTGTTTTTGGGTGGTACTGTTAGCAGCCAGAAATGGGACTCAATGATCCTTATGAGTCCCTTCCAATTCGGGATGTTCTATGGTTCTGTGATTTGTGTAATTTAAGTAGATAGGCTTTTTCCACTAGACTTTTGCAGATCCTGTCTCCTGCCACCCTAAACCTATACTGTACTGTGATTTTCAATATTAAAGTTAGATGCACTTTTCCAAAAATTCAGAACTGCAAAATCTACTCTTAAAATTATAAACATCAGGTCTCTCATTCTGAAACTTTTGACACAGCTATTTTGTACTGCAACTTTTTCCAGTCCAAAGGGAGATGGAGTGGACAAATCTGTTACTAAAAATTCTGTGTGAGTTGAAGATTTAGACGAGAACCTTCCAATTATTAATCTTTCTCAACTCTCTCTCTTTCAGATTGTGTACATGTGTTTCGGAAAAAGGATGTGCAGCCTCTGCAGTGAAAACATGCTGGCTCTGCATGGCATTCTACCAGATGGTATGCAAACCAGCAGCAAGAAACAGGCAGAATTGAATTACTGATTAACAGCTGTGGAACAGTACTCAGAGACCTACACAGAGAGATGCAGAAGGATATTAAGGGCCATGTTTATGCACAAACACTACAAAGCAAATCAGACACCTCTCCTTACCACCCTGTTTGAATTATCTCTTCTCTGGGCCAAAAATAATTAATTGTTCCTCTAACAGCCACTTCACCTGAATGAATATTAATTCTGCCTATTCCTCTCATTTTGTCTCAGGCTATTCTTCTAGAGGAAATGTCCTTCACAATATCCACTAATACATTTACATGCATATTTAACTCAGGTAATAAAATATTAGCCTTGATAAAAAAGTCATAACATGTTGCATTTATTAAAGGTTACCTTTTTAAACAACTTCAGGTCTGTGGAAAAATTAGCTTTTCACATGAAACTGCTAACTCTGGCTTTCATCTACCTGTTGATGAGAGTTCATTTATGGCTCCCGAGGAAAGAATATATTTTCTGTGCTCTGGAGATGGGTTTATGCAAGACGGCAGTTATACTTCTGTGACATAGGGTGTAAGGAGACTTGAAGGATGACAAAAGTACAAAAATTCCAGGCTAGTCCAGTCTGTACGGTCAAAATTATCACTGAGAGCCTTTGGATGGGAGGCTGCTTTTGCCTATAGACTATTACATTTTGCTTGCAGCTGTTTCAGAAAGTACCTTCAGATGGCTTGGTAGCACAGACTGAGACACTATAACCAAAAGAATTTGGAAAATGGATTTTTCAAAAAGAGAGGGGAAAAATACCTTAAGTTATCTGCACCTACTCATATAAGCCTACCAAATAATACAAAAGTTTGAAATCTGCACTGCTTCAAAGCGTATTTCCTGTCTGTCTGTACATAACTGTTCCACTGACTACACCTTCATTATTTGTTACTTTATCCATTTAAAACCATACAGCAGGAAAACCTGCCCAAGGTCATTATCTAATAAAAATGAACTGCTTGTTTAACAGAGCCATAATGTGACCACTACATTCTGAACCATATTTTGTATTATTAACCTTATTTAAATTCAAGTGCCTTTACCTGCAATTCATTTTTAAAGCAGTGCTGCTACTTTTATTGTCATAACAGATCTTTCACCCTCTTTCATTTAATAGTGTCGCTAATGTGTCATAACTTCTTGTTTTTCTTTTCAGTGAAGTTCAGTCTTCTCCAATAAAGTTTTCCCTCTCTGCTCAGTAAAATTTAAGATAGAATATCTGTCACTAAGACACTAAGAACCATGTAAACATGCTTTAGTGTTAAGGTTCCTCTTTTTTTTTTTTTTTTTTTTTTTGTATGGCTTATTTTTAACCAACCCTATAAATCATACATGACTTTCTTGAATTCAGAATGTTCAGAATGATAGATAATAATGGAAACATTCTTCAGACAAGAAATAAATTAAAAAATAGCTTTTAACATTATACATCTATAAAAGGAAAAGTTTGCTAATGATTTTAGGTGTCCAGCCTAGATGTTTGAAAGAGTTCAAGCCTCATAATTGAGTTCTCAACAGCAGTGGTACCCAAAACCCATTGTCACACTTTGCTGCCTTGACAAGTGCCAACTGGTAGAAGCCCAATGTACATGTATTATTTTGCCCCTTAATAACATATTAGTGTGCAAATGTATCAGTTTATGAAACACATACTTGAAGGAATGAAAAAATACAGCAAGTAAAATATTATAAACTATAAAAACTAAGAATACAGACTGTCTACGTGCAGTGCTGTGACTCAACTAATGGCCATATAATGAACACTGCTCTGGCTGAAGTTGTGAGCTCCTTTAAAGAGCAGCTCTGAAGGATCTCCAGGGCCAAGGAAGGCTGACTTTCTGAGGATTTGTGATTTATTGACCACAAGTTCTCAAGAAGATGACCTCCTCTGTGAGCAGGCACTTCACAAGACCTCTTTCCCATGTGGAATTTCTGGTGTTCAGCAGCTGGATGCCCACTGACTCTTTAAAAAACAGAGAAGATTGAGACTCTTTGTCTTCTACATTGGCTCCTGTTTTCACAAAACTAAGGAAATATCATGACTTCTCATATTTTTACTCCTATACCGTATTTAGTTAAAACTGACCCGAAGTTATTTGTGGGAGAGAGGAAACGGAGAGTTCAAAGCACACAGCAGAGCATGAGCTCTGTCTTAAGAGCAGATTATTTGAGATTTCCAGTTCTAGTTCTGTGGCATATGCCATTATTTCAGCACTATCTGTGGTTCCTAACAATATTGCTGTCCACTGGGGACAGAACCCCATGAAAATGAATCTTTCCTAACGTAATTTAAGAGCAACTGGGAGAGGGAAGAACTCAGTCCCCTGTTAGAGCATCTAAAAAATGAGACTTTCAGAACTGAAAGTTCAATTGCAGTCTGCTTTAAAAGGAAACAACAGAAATGCCTTAAAGGAGCCTGGAACAGACAATATATTCAAATAGAGAAATGTGTCTCCTTCATCTTAATTTACTGCATCAGAAAATTGTGTTATTTAGCTGATCCACAGTTCATGAAAACCAGCAAAGTCCATAAGAAACTAATGTGTTTATCTTTATAATACTTCTGATGCTATTACAGAGCAGCTCTCTTTTAACCCTGCATGCATTGAGAAGCCAAAATATCTGTTGTACATTACACCATTTTAGGGACATCAATAAGAGCCTATTGTGACCCACTTCACTGGAGACTCAGGAGAGTAGCAATGTCTGTGACAAGACTTCAGCTCTGATTTTCAACTTCTATTGTTCTTAATTTCTCCCTCACTGTAACCCATATGTCACAGAATTGCAGTCAGAGATGTGCTCATGGCTCTTAATGAGGGCAGGAATGAGCCTTTGTGCTGCAGGGTTCAATCATCTCCAATAGCTTTCTATGAGCCATGACATTTTTCAGCTTTATTGATACCAGTGGGAATACAACATGTCTCCTGGAATTCATTCTTCAGCTTGACTCTGCAGCAAGCAGGGTTGTACATACAGGCTCAAAACAAATTCATCCTCAGCCCAAGCAGGGCTGGGGCTCAAGCCTGGCAGCAAAGTGACCATGAGATTTTAGCTGTAACTTGGAGTGGCTTGGCTTTTATTGACTTGTGCTGGGCACGTATTTCATACAGGGTTATTGTTTTTTAAATACACATATTCATATTTACATTGAGGTATCTACTGTAATATGAGGGCTTTGCAACATAGTATGTTCTGTTTATTACACTACCTAAAATACCCTTTGTTGTATACTGTGCAGATCTGTCATAAGTTTTCAAGACTTGCTTTCAGTTTTCTGCCATAAAATTATATATTTAAGATTGGTAATTAAGTTGAAATTGAGAATATTTTGGCTTTTACAAATATCAGAAAGAATTCATAACAGCTGAAATTCTTCCTGTAATATTCACTATGTTCTTAAAACTCTGGCGATACAAGGCTACAGTAAGTTTCTTTCCTCTCACAGCTGTTACATTCACCACAGTAGAAGAGTTGCCAGTGTATTTACCCAGGGAAACCAGAATGCAGTTTACATAGGAAAACTTTTTTTTTTTTCCTCCATTTGCGAGGCTGGACTTGTTTCACTACCAACAATAGTTTAAAAACATCATCCTTTGAGTTCTGCATAACTCAAAGTTGAATAGAGTTGGATGCTGTTCCAACCTGAATTTCACAATTAAACCAATATTATATACATAACACATACAACTGAGCATAAAATTATGTGTACAAGCATTAACTAAACCTATTTAATGTGCTAATTAAAGATGTGACTTTGTGACATCTATGCAGTCCCCATCTGCAAGGGCTGTCCTATCCTCTTGAACTCAAATTACTGCCTAAGGAGAAATCCTGCGACTGGAGGTTGCTGACACAGACTGGGAGGATCTCTGTGCAGCTCACTGGGTCACAGCCTGTGCTCTGGTTCTTCTTGATACTACATCAAAGGCTGCAATTAACATCTGGAGAAAAATGTGACTGTTTGCCTGAGCAGAAAGCCCTTACGTAAACACATTTGGGCAACAGTCCTAATTTCTTTTTCCTACCCAGGTTCTCACTTGTTGCTTCCTGGCACCTGACCTTGCTGAATTCTGAGGTAAATGTCCCTCCGCAGAGCAGGGTGAGATTCACAATGATCAGGCAACACCTTATTCCTTTTGCTCATAGCATGTTAATTGGATCAGACCAAATTGGTGGGGTTTTGCTGTTTTGTTTCAACACTCCTCATTTCAAAAGAGCTACACTGCTTTGTTGGAAGCCTGAGCAACTTGTTGCTTGGTTGCACTTCATTCGAGTTAAACTCCTCATACAGCACTGCAAGGAAATGAGAGAGTTGTGGTCGCAGAGGAAGCAGCAGAGCACTGGGGCTTCCTGACACTTTGTAAGGAGAGGGGCCCTGTAAGTGTCTGAAGAACACACAACACCCCCAGCTACTTCATGCAACCCTTGACCTGTCTGCACCACACACACACATCCCCAGCCATCCCTCCACTATAAAACCCATCCCCACAAACTCACTCTCGCCCCATCACCTCCTAATGCTGCTGGTTCCCAAGAATACCACGTCCATCTGTGTACTGGACATGTCCCCACAGCTCACAGACACCCACCACCACAGTCACCATCCCTTTTTACAATCCCTTCCCCAGCACCCGCCCTGCCCCACCTTGGCGTAGCAGAAAGAGATGAGCAGCAAGGGGAGCAGATAACCAAAGACAAAGGTGCAGACCACGTAGACCTTCTTGTGGCGCGGGTTGGGCCAGTGCTCCCAGCAGAAGGTCTGGTCGCTGCCGTTGCGGTGGAAGAGGCGCTGGTGGTGAGCCACTGGCGAGGCCATGGCGAAGGAGAGAGCCCAGATGAGCCCAACACCCAGCAGCGCGTTGCGGGGGACGCGCAGGGTGGAGGAGCGCCGCGAGTGCACGATGGCCACATAGCGGTCCACGGACATGGCCGAGAGTGTGAAGATGCTCACCAGCATGGAGACGGTGAAGAAGTAATGGATGAACTTGCAAATGAAGGCGCCCAGCACCCAGGTAGGCAGCACGTAGACCGTGGATTGGAAGGGGATGCAGAAGAGTAGGTAAGCCAGGTCGGCGATACTCAGGTTGAGGATGAAGATGTTGGTGGTGCTGCGACGCTTGCCTGGCTTGCTGCGAGCCAGCACCGTGATCACCAGCGAGTTGCCCAGCACCCCCAGGGCGAAGATCAAGCCGAAGATGATCAGGGTGATGAAGTTCTCGATGCCGATGCCGAAGAGGGGCTTCCCCTCCGCCTCCGACAGCCCGGAAGCGTTGAACACCCCGCGGGGCGCCTCTGCGCCCTCCTGGGACCGGTTGAGGGGCTCCACCGGCTCCATCCTCTCCCGTTGACGCCAAGCAAAGTTTCCGCGGGTGGAAGGCGGAGGCAAAGCCCCACGATAGGTGGTGGCCACCCCCGCCAGCGCCGGGCAGGAGTGGATGGTTAGAGGGGGGGAGGAGGAGGAGGAGAAGGAGAAGAAGGAGGAGGAAGGCGCCGCCGCCGCCCAACCTGAGCCGCCGGGTGCGGAGGAGGCTCGGCAGCCCAGGGCGAGCTGCGCTCTCCCTCCGCTCCGCTCCGCCTCCGTCAGGCTCGCCCCGGCTCCCGCTGCGCCGGCAGGTCAGGCAAACCGGGGAGCAGAGGGGTTTCTTTGTTTTCCCGATTTAACCGGTAATCGTCTTCGCAGGGCAGCCACCTCGGACAACTTCTTTCTGCCTCTTGTGCCGGCCGGAGCGGCGGCAGGCAGGGCTGTGGGAGCTCTGCATCGAACTCGGACAAGTGGCAGGCAGTGGGAGTTCGGACGGATTACTCAGAGCCCGGTCTCGCTATTTTCGCCTCCCTCGCTATTAAATGTTCCGTCATGGGCGGTAGCTCGCAGGGCAAAAAGTGGCAGGCGCTGTTATTTCATACAAGCAAATAAAAGACCACCTTTCACGTACCAATCACGAAGAACGTGTTCCCAAAGCTCCCCGGTGCTCTGCTCTGTGCCCTGTTAGTCAGCGATGAGCTCAGAGCCGGGCAGCAGCAGGGAGCTCTTCCAAGGACCAAAATTAGAGCGTCTAAATAGTGGTTCTTCTCAGAGCTGGGCAGAATGCAGAGCCTCCCGCAGGCTATCTGTGCGGGTTCACATAAATACTCTCACACACGTGCGCCTTGCCAAAACAGGATTGCTGGAGAGTTCTTGAAACGTTTTCTATCTGTGCGCTACATCTGATGACAGCACTGCTTCATCTCTCTTCTCAAGGGATGAAACTGCGAATTGTTGCAAATCCCCTCCACCATGTGGAGGTAAGGGCTGGGAGAGCCACGTCTTCCTTCAGATAGCTCTTTTCTGTGTCCTATGTACTCAAGAGCTCAGTGCCAATTTGCAGCACCTTTCACATGGGGAGCAGTGGGGACAAAGAAGACTAGTTGTTCAGATGTGTTTCCTTAGGACACGAGCTTTTGTCTGCTTCTCTGTAGACCACAATTTAATGTGGTTTTTTTTTCCCTCACCTTTCTTTTTGCTGCTTGTATTAAGACAACCTCTCAGCAGCTGTGCATCAGCTGACTGTAGAGCTATTGACTTCTGAAGATCTAAATGGGAATTAATCCTACTTATCATCTGGTGCATTATGTCCAAAGCAAAACATTATGGGAGAGCACAATTCAGTTTCTATGGATTTCAATGGATTTAGATTGAACTGCTTCCTATATTCATCATGACTCAGTATCAAAGTTACAAATAACTAAAAATAAACCCCTGAAGATTCCTAAGAGATTTGAGGGTTCCTTTGTTGTTGTTTTTCGTTGTTGTTTCGTTTTCAGTGTGCATATCTTGTCACTATATTGACATGCTCAGTTACTGCTTGGTCCTACTACTGTGTACTTCTGTAAGGGATTTGAGAGATACAAGAAGATGATGTTTTGCTTTTGAATCACATAATATCCTGAGTTGGAAGACATCTACTAGAATCATGGAGTCCATCTCCTGGCTCCACGTGAATCAAACAAAATTCAAACCCTATACCTGAGAGCAGCGTCCAAATTCTCCTTGAACTCCAGCACTGGGGGCCGTGTCCACAGCCCTGTGCAGCCCATTCCATGCCCACCACACTCTGGTGCAGACCCTCCCCCTAACCGCCAGCTGCCCCTTCCCTGACACAGTTCCATGCCATTCCCTCAGCTTAATCATGTCCTGTTGCCAGACATCAACCTTTTTTAGGACGTCAGGAGTGAAACCTTAGCCTTGCTGAAGCCAGTGCTAACATTGCATTAATTGTAACTCTCCATCTGAAATGTGTCATTAGTCCTCATTGCTCAGACTTTCTTCTATTTCTCAGGAAATATTTTCCTTTGAGTGTTATCGTCTGAATGATGACCAAAGTATATCAGATAGTGGTATTGGACAAATGAGCAGGGAAAATGGATACAGAAACAAAATCAGTTTTAAAAGAAAACAACCTGAAAATTGCATTAGTGGGCTGGACTGGAGTGTTGGCTCTATTAGTTTCCTTAGATGTTTTATTGCCAGTTTTGCAGCTCAAGCTCTGCTTTACTTTTATGCCTGTATAACACATATAGAAACATACACAGTATTATAAGGCCTCAGCTGAGCATAAGGAGAAGAAAAAAACAGCAAACCAAACAACAGAGAGCACAACCATGTTGTAGCTTTTCTTTCATAGGAAAGAAGTTGACAGACCCGTAGGCTTTTATATCAGTAAAGTTCACATGTTGACAGAACCCATGACTCCTGTTAAAACTGATGTAAACAAGCAGGTGTTGACATTTCAATCCATCGTTATTATCTAGATGGAGTAAACAGCCAAAATAACAGAAAGTTTTAAAGGGAAAGTTCTCATGAAGTCAGTACAAATAATTTTATAATCAAAATTAAAAACTACCTGGGCAAGTGGGAGAAGAAAAAATCAGTACAAAATGTACATCACACTTCAGGAAAATAATTTTCATCTCTTTACAACGGAGATCTCTTAAGCATGTGATTCATGCATTTCCTTGATTCCAGTTTTATTGAATCTAGTCCTGAACACAAAAAGATCTCATTTTGTAAAAAATAGACTAGCTTATGAACTTCAGAAAGAGCAAAGCTAGATGCTTTGGGCAGATAACAGGGAATGCAATTTTCTTATACCTGTGGACAGCATCTTCAGTATTCTTTGTCAGCTCCCCAATTTTTCATAGTAATTAGTAGTAAAAATAGTGCAAGGAATTGCACTAGGGGGTGGGTAAGGGCGGAAAGGGGGTGGGAACTTAAGTACCTCGTTAAGTCCTGGCTTACACGTTTACTCCTTAGCGTATAATCAGCAGGGTAATACTGAGAGGAAACATCACAAAAATGTCTTCCTTTCACTCACTTTGGTGACTGGTTTGGAAATGTGGTTTTTCATATGGCTCTGATAACAAAAGTATTTGAATTACATTGGTAAATTTTTATGCCAGAAAAGAGAACTGATGATTTAACAATGCAACAAATGGATTTAAAACATTCATTACCGCTATAGTCTATGTCACTATGAAAACTACATATATAAAACATTTAATCACAGTAGTGTCACTAAAATCCATTTATATTTGAGAAAGAATATTTAACTAGCACGGCTTGAATATTTAGTTAGCATAGAAAGAATAAATAGTTAACCATATTTCCTGCTGGGTTTTAGTTACATTCCAGCTTGTCAGTTTTAGGACACAATGAGTAAGTGAGGTACAAAAATTGGAAGCTGATTATTCTTATTGATACACAAATTTCTGTTTTTATACAGTGTGTCATAGAATACAATGTTAATAATAGAGCATACAACCTTTTGTCAGAAAATTATTTCAGTAAAATCTATTCACTTCTATATAATTTTTTTTTCTTTGCCTGGAGTTGAGCTGGAGTTGAGTTTCAAGCCTCTAAACTGCACAGCAGTGTCGATCTTGTTTGCATTCTACTCTACTGTACTTTGCTCCATGCTTTGTTTATAAAACACAAAACTGAAAAAAAAGGCTGATTTTCAAGACCGACTTTTTTTTTTTGAAAGTTTGAAACAAACTCAGGAACAATAATCACCCCAATCGTACCCCATTATTTCTGTTTACTGCAGTTCCTGGAGTAGAAATTCAGCAGAAATGAACTTTAAATACCATTCAAAAGCTGAGCTAAAAGTTCATGATTCAAAAGTCACCTTTGACTCACCAGTTATACAGTTATTAGGATGGAAAAGTCAAATATTTATTGGCATTAACTTGCCTTCTCAATATATTCTTGGGAACAGTGTAACCCTGAGGTCACAGATGTCGGTACATTCGAATTTCCGTGGTGGAGATGTGTCAGTAATAAACTGAAGTTTATTGCTCCTTGCTGACATTTAGAAGTAGCAAACATCTGTCCCTATTCATCTGAGACATTGCTGTTCTATCCCAGAATTTGTGCTGAATTGTTTTCTCCTGGTTCTCTCTTCTAGTTCTTAAATTGCTCTCAAAGAGCCTTTAGAGTATAGACATTCAAAATCAGGGAATTAAAGTTGAAATAATAATTTCTAAAACTCTTATTTTTAAAATAAGTATTCTAAATACTCTACTTAAAAATTAAATATTTATCCAGTTTTTGTTTTTTTTTTCTGTAAAAATGAAGAGTACTAAGCAGCATGTTCCAGCCACATGTTCTCTTTTTGTAGCTGATGAAGACAGTTCTTTGCTTCATTTTGCTTGATTTGTGACAATTGCTCCATGGGATGCTTCCTAATATAAAAAGCCAAAGTGCCAAAGTTACTTGCCTGGGTGTAAATACACAACTGTGCTTTATCTAAAACAGAGAGGATCAATACCTGGTTTCTCTTGAAGTAACCAGTGTACTTTAATGAGCACCCGTAACACAGTACAACAGAGCAAGTACTGCAGACCTGGGGAAGTGCAGCAGGCACCCCGGCCATGGGCAGAGCACCTACAGGAGTCATTTCAGTAGACCCTTCAAGCAGCTGCTTAAGATGGGCACCTGACAGATTTGAAGTAACAGAGGAAGAATAGACAATGTTAAGTTCTGCAAAATCAACTTCATGTCCTTGTGCAGGAAATACAAGCTAGAAAAGATACCTCAGTTGTATGGAAAACACCGAGGTTAACTTGTATTAAAGGAGATAGTAGTGGAAATAAATCACTTGGAAAGTAAGACTGTTGCTGCAGCAGCTGTGTACTGCTGGTAGAGAAACCAAAGAGCTGCAGGCTGCTTTGCACGGGGTCAGTTCCAGGCAAAGATGCTAGTAAAAAGAGCAGGACCCCAGGGGATCTTCAACAGCGCATCTGCGGTTTGGGCAAAGAGAGAAAACTGGCATGTAGGAGCATATTAACTGAGAGAGAGAGGTTGAGCTTCAGAAAGAGCTCTGGTGTCAGCTGCAGCCTGGCCTTGCCTTGCCGCCACCCTTGGCTTATGCTTGAGAGAAGCAAAATCCAATTTGCTAGCATTGCTGAAGAGCCTGGAGGGAGCTGCAAGTACAAATCTGCAAGATAAATAATAGGTATAGTGTCACCAAATATGTAAACTATGTGATTCTGATTGTTCTTGGGATATTGAAAACTTGTTATATGGATACCTATGTAAGCAGAGCATTATGGCTTCCAGTAAAATGGCACAACTATTCTTCTGTGGCTACGCAAGGGTCTTGTGCAGGTGCAGCAGGGAAGAACAGGCTTTTTTGTAGCCAAAATCTGCTAGAGTCTTCACTGTTTCTTTTACAGCAGACTGTCATCATACAAACTGTGAGGTAGGAACAGAAAGCCTTAAGGCGGAGTCAATGGTCTCCATTAAAATTACTATTACAAACATTCTGAATGCTTTATAAGACAATGCCAATGGCATTGGCATCCT